AGCAGGTTGGTGTTTTAAATCATGGATTTTGGTGAGGATATGAGAGAACCCGAGTGAGATGATTGTGATGTTTGGAGCTCTGTTTCATGGAACTTTTTCCTCCATCCATAAGCCAGAGGTTGAAGATGGTGTTTTTACCATTGGATTGCATGAGACCTATTGACTTTATCCAGATCTAACGGCCACGACATAACCTCACGGTTTAAAAGAGAAAGTCTGAATACATATGAAACGAGGCATTTCATTAATTGGGACCTTGGGCTTTAGTACTGAGACCACTATACACACCCCCACGTCTTGGCCCACGTGAAAATGAACTGTATCCTCTCACTATTTGCACCGCATCTTTTTTCTTTTTCTTTATATTTTTGTTTTTGTTTTCTGATTTAATTATGGGCCTAGTGTGCTTACTGATGACACCCCCATTTAGAGCCCGTCTGGATAATGCACTGCATCTCATTACTATCTGCACCAACTGTTTTACATTTTATTTTCATTTTCTCCATTTTTCTTTAAACTTTAGAAAATCATATAAAATAGAAAAAAGATGATTTTTACGTGGGAGTTTTTTCTTCTATTTCACATTTATGTCAAGAAAATTATAAAACCATAACATTTGCATTTCATGCATTTTTGATATACTTTGTGTATTTTCTCTTTTAATAGCATTTTATATTCTTTTATGGTGGTGCATAGATTTGTAGAATTTTGTTTAGATAGTTCCTTTTGAATTTTTATGCCATTCTTTTTAGGTTAATTAGATTAGGACTTTAGCTCCCCTCTGGATTTTATTCCATAATTTTGTGGTTAGATTTTGATTAGTTTTGAATAGATGACTTTAGGTTGTGTAGAATTAGGATTAAATCTTGACCTAGGTCCATAACAACACTTTGATTTTGGGTTTTTAGGTCAAGTTAGATATTGGGAACTATAGGGTATGAAGGGTAGTTACCTAGGATCCCTTAGAAATTATATTAGAATTTTATATGATAGTATACCATTTTTAATTGATTTTTGTATATTGAATGTGGTATGTGTTGCTCTTGTGGGCTTTTGCTTTGATTGCTTTACTTTGTGGGATTTTGCTTGGCTTGGTGGGCTTGGTCTTGCTTTGAGGAGCATGGAGGAGCATAGTAGAAGACTTGAAGGATGAAGAGGGAGCTTGAGAGCTTGAAGACTTGTTTGTTTTGTTGTTGTTTTAGGAAATAGGACTTAGGTAGAGTTTAGACTTAGTTAATTTCTTTCTTAAACATGGATGTCATCTTTCACCTCCATTCTTCCCTATGATTAAAAGTCCTTCCATGGTATTCACCTCCCTCCTTTGGAGGGATAAGTGATGGTACCTAGGAAGTAGAACTTTTGAGGGAACCATTCTTCTGATGTTAAACCCTTATAGGCCTCCTTTGGTGGTCAATAAGCAGTTTAATATCCTAGCTTATCCAGTTAAGTGATTGCCTTCTGGTTTGAGTATCTTGAGAGATATTGGACTTGAGTTTGAAGACGAGGACTTCACTGAAGAGTGTGGAAGAGGATGATCCCTTGAGCATTGCCATTTCAGCTGAAGCTTGAAGAGCTTGAAGAGCAAGTTGACACTTGAAGACCCAATTGAGATTGAGTGAGAGCTGAGGCTTAAAGAGTTGAAGGATGAAGTTGACACTCCCATGTGATTGAAGACTACTCTGAGAAGCTAAGGCCTGTAGGAGAAGAAGACCAAGTTGATACTGGTAAAGCAAAGAGAGCTGAAGCTTGAAGACTAAGTTGATACTTATGAAGAAGATTCAATTGAGATTGAGTGTAGAGCCGAGGCTTGAGGACTGAAGGATAAGTTGATACTTACATTGATGCTTGGAGAACCTGAAGGAATCAAGTTGATACTTGTAGTTAAGAGTGAAGCCTGAAGGTGGAATTGACTGAAGAGCTGAAGCTTGGAGAAGAGAGAATAAGTTGAAACTTATGGATTGAAACCTTGGAGAAGCAAGTTGATACTTGCCAGTGAAGCTGATAGCCTTGAAGGGTGACTGAAGTCTGAAGACTGGTTTGCTGTTAGAAGAGCTGAAGCTTGGAAATGAAGAGGGAGTTGTTGATCTGATTTCTTGTCTGTTTTCTTTTCTGTGCTGATGTGCCTTGTTTGATTTGCTTGATGCATTAGAATAAGTCCATGATTAGACTGACTTTGAATTAGGAGCATGATTGCACTAGAGGTTGAGTTGCTCCCTCTGCTTGTATTTTTACTGTATGGCTTTGCTTGAGGGTATTCGGTAGAGCCCAGCTCCCTTGCCCATGTGGTTTATTTTGCTTGATAGCATATTTTACCGTCCTCTGTATGATTGCAGTCTCTTATATTCTGCTTGATAGCATGTTATATTTACTGTATGATTGCAGTTTGTTGAATCTTGCTTGATAGCATGTTGTTATTATTGTTGTATGATTACTATTATTCATTCTGGCTTGAGGTTGAGATGAGCTTGTGGAGGCTGCTGCCCCACACACATTTCTTCCCTCACTTGCATTGCATGCATTTTACAGTCGTTTACTGTTTACTGTTTAAGCTGATGCTTTATCTATTTCTGTGTATCATTGACATGATCCCTTAGGACTCTCATTTCCTTTGATAAGGAAGTGATGATAGAACTTTAGGTTGAAACCTATGCATGATAACTTCTAGGAGTTCCCTGTTTCAAACTTCAACCATAGGATGAATCCTTGGCATGACAACATTAGGACTTGATAGTCTCCCATTAGTTGAGCCCTCTCTCTTCTTATCTCAAACAGCTTAAAATACAGTAATCATGAATGATTTCTTTCGTAAGTTACAAGCCTTAAGCTATCTGAGAAAGGATTGTTGGAGAGTCTCTTTTCAACAGTCTGGATGTTTAGTATGGAACCCTTTGGGTGACATGCGACGCATTCACTCTCAGGTCATAGTCTTTAGTGCGATTGAAATTGCAAACACAATAAAAAACACTTCTTTCGTAAAAGACAGAAAACAAACTTCAAACCTTTTGCCCCGTGGGCCCATAATTCAAAGGAAAGCTTTTCTGAAGAAAAGAGTGTCGTTAAACTTCAGAGCCAACGCAAACAGGCTTTGTCCCTAACTGCTGGAACTGCTGTTTAACCCTACTCGGTAAAATAGATGAATCTGAATTTTCGTAATCCGTAGTAACCCGAACTACGTAAGCTCTGATCTCTCATATCTGTTGAGAGTACGTAGGCACAATACTGATGTATTGACGAGCCACCTTCCCCATAACCCGTCGTAGGTCGAACTACGTTGACTCTGATTTCTCATTCTCTGATGAGAATACGTAGGCATAAAGCGCGACGCTTTGCCGAGTCATTTTTTCTTTTCTGTTTAAGCCAACCTTGATAGGTAGATAGATAAACCAACTCGTCCAGTAAACACAACAAGCGTGGATCCCGTCGAGTACGACGGACGTGAGGGGTGCTAATACCTTCCCCTTGCGTAACCGACTCCCGAACCCAGACAACGGTTGCGATGACCTTGTCTTATACCTTTTTTCGTCAGGTTTTTCCGATCGTTTCGTTTCCCGTTCTGAGGGATAAATAACGAAAGGTGGCGACTCTTCTGTTTTGCCGGCACCTTATTTTCGCGAAAGCGACACATCTCACTTTGACATAAACATGAGACTTGTAGAGCATGTTCTTAGCTTTCTTTTGAGTACAAGAACTCATCCATTGGGTTTCTAGAACTCAATTTATGATGCTGACAAGTTATGGGTCCTCAGATGAATGTATTTTCAGTCAACAAAAGTCAACCAACTTTCAAGGCACTTTTAACCTAGAATCATGTTTCTCCTCAATTTTTGATGAACATGAAAGTTATTTCTTATGATCTTAGCTTTCCAAAAAGTCCTAGAAGTCCTTCATATCATTTGTAGAACTCAAGTTATGAGGCTTGCAAGACAGGGGTATTTTGGGAAAGTGAGATTATAAGTCCTTTTCATTATAGGTCATTTTTATGATTTTGCACACTTCAAATGAGACTTTCTCCAACATGAAACTTGCTTCAAATGAACTCAATTTCATCATTGAACATCAATTTATCATGGATTATGGTTGGATATGAAGATTGGTGAAGAAATTCCATGGAAAAAGGACTTTTAAAGGGTGAATTTAATTGAAATGGTTTTAACTCCCTTTCATGCCATATTTGTGCATATTTTGATTCACAACATCAAACTAAAAATAATGTACCAAAAATTTTTTAGTTATGCAAGCTAGAACTCATGAAATTTCAAGTTACTTCAAGTATAAGTCTCACATTCAATTTCAACCATTAGATCAATTCAAAGAGCAATTGTCATCCATCTAATCAAGGCACATCACCAGCAACTGATTTGAATCATCTCCAAGGGAATTGGAGCCATTTTTGCACGTGTGTATGAAGCTCCCACTTCTAACTTTGGAATTCTTCAAATCATCATAACCAGGCCAAATTGGGCCCCCAAATGATCATGGATCCATTACATAAAAGCTTCAGATGCATTTGGAAGCTTCATTCTGGCATTTTGGTGAAGAACACGCATAGGAGCAGTTGCAAAAATCAAGAACAAAGTGAAACAATTATATTATGAGTTCGACCCGCACCCCTACATCTAATATTTATTTATTCCACTCCTTCAGTAATAACAGTTTGTTGCATAAAAGAAAAAAATTTAGGAGTGCAAAAACAAAAAGATATACCATTTAAAACAAAGAAAAACCAAACAGAACACTACGAAGAGTGTTTGCTAACTTTCCAGACATAGAATCATTTTACTTTCAAGATGTTCACTAAACAAAATCCATAGTCAAAGAATTAAAAACCACAATGTTTTTATAGAAAGCCAAAGAATGGTTACATTCATGAATTGAATATTTTACACTTGTAAAACAAGTAAAATTCCCAAGAATTTTCAAACAAACCATACATGTGAAGTTAGATACATCATCAGAATTACAAAACAATGCAGATTTATATATAACACAACCTAAAATCATTAGACAATTGATGCATCCCCAAGATCTGTCAAAAAAAACATACAAAACAAATTCAATATTCTAAATTTCATTAGAAATAAATTAGTAAAACAGAAGTAAATAGAAAAATACCCACCTTTTCCAGGAACAATTACAACAGGTGCTGCTTTACAGTGGTGAAAGCAATACTCACCAACACTTCCTTGTAACACACTGAAGAAAAAAACCAGAAACATATCAATTATGACTCATAATAATGGAAAATTGCAGGGCTCAGAGAATGATAGAAAGGAAATACATAAATACCTTTGAAATAAGCTTCTGCCTCTAGTTCCAAGAACCACAGCTGCAGGTTTAGTCCTCTCTGCTTCCATGCAAATTACTTTTCCTGGATCACCTTGCACAATCCGAGCTACTGTTTTTACCTGTTTTCACATCATAATAATCATTTAGGTTTAAACAGAATATGAGAATAGATTGCTAGAAATACAGAAATAATAGTTGATCATCAATAGAGCTTAACCAAAAAGTTGAAGCGAAAATAATATATGTGCTCTAACAATTTTTACTTTCTTTTCTGGTTATCAAGTTGGTTATAAATACGGAGAATTGAGTATTTATAAGTGGAAGAACTTATACACGCAGACGGTTACTAACCATTGCAACTTCAAAAGCCTCGACAGCTAATTTCTCCATCAGCCCTTGAGTCAAATCATACACAATCTGGTTCTTCACATCTACCAAATATTTCATCAACAAAAAAACATATTCATAAACCCACAAATTTAAATTATTTTAAATTAAACAAAAGAAATAAAATAATAAAGTAGAGAAAGGAACCAGAAACAGCATGAACGAGGTGGATGGTATCAGCAAGTCTGCATAGATGAATAAGAGCCCAATCAAAAGCATGTTTACTGTTGGGACCATGATCTATAGCTATAACTATATCTCTTCCTCTTCTTCTTTCTCCTGTTTCTCTCTCAAGCTCTGGTTCAGGCACTATTGGGATCAGAGATGGAAGCTTCACTTCTCTGTAGTTGTACTCTTCTACATCTTCCATCACCGTTTCCATGAATTAACAATTGAAGTCGAATAGAATTGCTTTTTGAATAAGAAAGGTTAATTTGTTGGTTGGTGGCACTTTTTTTTTCTATGGTTTTGTCTTTAAAATTGTCGTGTCCAAATTGAAAACTTATACCCGTTCACCGTTCATTGGTCAAACCATGTTCTACTAGTGCTGATTTTTATTATTTTATTGTTTCTTTCAAGTTGAGTTTTGTACACTTTCTTTCTTCTCCAAGTTTTCTTTGAAAAATATTAATTAATATACGCGTGATCATATACAGAGCATATAATCTATTCACCGAAAGAAAATTAGCAATATCAGCCGCGTGTTATTATTATCCTTAATTTCATGTGTGTTAGAGAAACAAAAAGGTTAAGCTCTTTTATAGGACAATTATAACTATGAGCGCTAATTACATATTTAACTATTTTAAATGATGTCAAATAAGAAATAAGAAAAGTATATTGTAACGCTTTTATATATTAGACGGTATCAACTTATATTTAGATGTTTATTTGTCCATTTATAGTCTTAGGATATATAAAAAGAGTCTTTGAACAAGTTTAATAGATCTTAAACATGTCATACACATCAAAAATTATATTTGTGTGTGTCAACATAACTACATAAGTCGGTCTATACATGATTAGGTCGATCTATGAAAACCTTTGCTTCAGTACGGGTTGACACATCTATATTTCAGGTCAGCTCCCACGCTCCAAGAGCGAAGCATGTAGGCTCTGCCTATAGGTCGCCTTTTAGGTCGTCGTACAGGCCGGCCTGAATACCTTCATAGGCCGACCTATATGCAACTTAAAACTTGAAAAATTCTTTTTGAACCTTATTTTTTTTGCATCCTCTTTGCCTTTCTTCCACACAAATATATATACTCATACATGCATCTTCATCCATTCTTTTATGCATACACACAATTGAACTACACATAATCATTTTTCGATTGGGTGACCATCTAGATTAGGGTTGATAACGTCAAATTAGGTTTGCTGTAACCGATAATATTGGGTTGGGAACTTTGTGTGTTTCAAATAAGAAAACTAAGTTGGTTTTCCTTCAAGATCGAGTTGATTTGAAGGTTTTGAAAAAGATTACGTCAACACAGATTCGATCGAGTGAAGGTCTTGGGACAAGTTGCTTTCCTTTCAAGGGAGTAGCGCGAGACAGTAAATTGTGTTCGGGAATCTTAGGGTTTCAACAAGTTGTGCGCTCGAAATAATCGGAGGCTTGTAGCCGCATTTGTTGGTCACTTGATCAAGCTTTTGATCAAGGATTATAGGTGGAAGAATCAACACAAAACAATAGGATTTTTGGGGTTTGTATTCTTCTTCTCTTGTATAAACGATTTTGCAAAAAAAAAAAAGGTTAATAGAAATATCTCAATTCGATTTTGAATCGAGGGCAGACGTACCTGTTAGAACACAGATTGGTTCTTAGTTATATCTTTATGTTTTGATGATAACACTTACGAAATTTTGTATTAAGAAATTATATACTCTAAATTTTGTTCAAGTATTTTTGCTGCAGATATTAAATTTAATATTCTTCTGAAAGAAAAAATGGATCTGAACATTAAACTATGCAAGACTCTGAAGCGTCAGAAGCATCTCTTAGAAGAATTTGAGCGCTGCCTACAGAAGACTCTGAGTGCTGCCTACAGATGGATCTGAAGTAGAAGCTACAGAAGTATCTGAAGCATAGACTGAAGACTTTGTATGAAGAGTTTCAAGCATAGTTTTTCAGAAGACTCTGATAGTACTGTACGCTGCAAGTACTGAGGATCTGATTCTTAAACTCTGCTCTAATGAATCTCACGCTAAAGCACACTTGCTGCAACACTCTGATACAACAAATTCTGAAGACATCAAGACTCTGATCACTCAAGGCTTTGATGTTAATTGTTGTGAATTAGAAACTTGTTGAAGAAGATTATTTGAAGATATACCCGTTGGTTATGCCAAACGACTCTTTCCTCATTTATGTTAGACACAAGAACACAGACAAAAAGGATTTCTCTGAACGTTCTTCTTCTAGGAAAGGTCAACTGATGTGAAGACAAAAAGGTTACAACTACTTTGCAGACACAGTATTCAAAGAGAAAACGTCTTGGACTTCTGTGCCTATAAAAGCAAGTCTCCAACATTCTTCTTCAGTTGACGATAATTGAAAGAAATTCATTGAAAAACTCTCATACTAATTATTCTCATTGCTGAATTTATTTCATAAAGTTCTTAAACTTAAGTGTAAATCACAATTGTGATATAGCTTTCTTAGAAGCATTCAAACACTTGTTTTGTTTTACAATTGATTGTAAAAGTTCCTTGAGAAGACCAAGTTGTGGTCAGTAGTTCTTGAGAAGACTAAGAACAGTTGTTCTTAGTGGTTGTTATTGTAATCGGTTTGATTAATAGTGGATTAAGTCCTTGTGGAGAAAGGCAAATCACTCTTGATAGGGTGGACTGGAGTAGTTGAGTTCAACGAACCAGGATAAAAATCTTTGTGTTTTTATTGCCACAATATTTTCTATATACTTATTCAATCCCCCCTTCTAAATATTTTCTCACCTTCAGCACCTATAGCGAAGCCAATTGAGGAACTGCCTAAATAAATCTCGGTTCATCTCTCTCTTTATCTCTTTTTCACTTTTATTGTTGATTTTGCAATTTATCAAGTTCATTAGAGGTGTGAGCAGGCGAGTTAGAAGGCCTACGAGGAAGGGATGAAGACATAACATAATCAACCATCTTCAAAGACCTCTTTTTAGACCCCTTCCTCTTCACGAACATAGGCCCACTAAAGTCATAAATACTCCTTAACTTGTTTTTGATAGTAAAAGTACTTTTACCTCTCTCTTGCCTACTTTTACTCAAAGCTTTACCGAATGAACAACTAACTCTGGTGTCTGAGGTAACAAGACACAATAAAACTTTTTTAATGGGTCCCTCATGGGTTAAAAAATAATCTGCAACCACTATAGTCACCCTTAAAGCCTCGTCAAAGCTGCCACTAAAAGCATTAATACCAACACTTTTTAAAAGGTCTACTTCCTTACCTAATTCTGGTTCCTTGTTATATACGCTTTCTGATGTGACTTTCTAGGCAATGGGAGAAGCTATTGTCACTTCCTCCCAAAGATTTTTATTTTTTTAATAAAAATATAATAATTGTATAATAATAATAATTATTATTATATATATATATATATATATATATATATATATATATATATATATATATATATATATATATATATATATATATATATATATATATATATATATATATATATATATATATATATATATATATATATATATATATATATATATATATATATATATATATATATATATATATATATATATATATATATATATATGTGTGTGTGTGTGTGTAATTTTTTCTAAAAAAAAATATTTAAATACATATATCATATTTTTATTAAAATATAATCAAAATAGATAAATTCTTAGGTATTTATGATAAGTACCAAATCTTTAATATAGATTGATTTAAAATATTAATTTATTTTTAAATAAATATATATATAAAAAATGACATAACAATGAAAATTTTATTGAATCAGAGTACCGATACTCAATTGAATTTAAGAGTATCATAATGTTCACCTAAAAAATAAACCTAAAAAATTTATCTAAATTTTGATATTTTTCAATCTTTATTTTGTTTTTATTACTTTATAGAATATGATCATGCTATCTGAGGTATTAATTAAGAATTTTAAATAAGAAAAATATTTTATATTTAGTTTATTCAATATATGCAAAAAATTTAAAATAAATAAATTATTTAGGTTTTTAGTATATTGAATACAACTAGAGGTGACAATTGGATCCATTAAGGCAAAATCCATCTAATCCATCTCATCCATCCTCCACATAAGAAATAAGTTAATTGATTGAATTATATCCATCCATTTATATGCATGGATGAATTCAATCCATGCATCAAAAAAATTCATCCAATCCATCCACCACATAAGAAATAAGTTAATGGATTGGATTAAATCCATCCATTTATATGCATGGATGAATTCAATCCATCCAACATATTTTAAGGGTCCAATGGATTATTTTTATTTTCGTTAGATTTATTTTTTTAAAAAAAAATTAAAAAAAAAAGAATTGATTTTTTTTCCAATAAAAAAACTGTAATTTTTCCTTAAAAAATGATTTTTTTTTAAATAAACTGATTATTTTTTTAAAAAATTGATTTATTTTCCAAAATAAAAAACTGATTTGTTTTTCGAAAAAAATATTGATTTAAAAAAAACGGTTTTTTAAAGAAAAAAACGATTTTTTTCTGAAACAAAAAACCATTTTTTTAAATAAAAAAATCGATATTTTTAAAAAATTAAAATATCAATTTTTTTCTTGAAAATACAAAAAATGATTTTTTTAAAACAAAAAATTCAATTTTTTTTCATTAATATATTAAAAAATAATTATTTTTAAAATACACAGTCTTTTGATTTTTGGATGGATTTTTTTAATTTTTGGATGGATTTCATTAATATATATTGTCTGATGTTGAATACACACTCTTTTGGTTTTTGGATGGATTTTTTTAATTGTGTGAGTTTTAGAAGATAACAAGTAGAAAGAGATAGAAATAAACACATACAGTATTTGTATTTTAATGCTCAAATAATACAACTATAATTGTATCCTTTATGAAATAAAATTGTCATTTTACCATGATAAATGTCACATTATAGTTTAAAATGTGATATTGTGTTGATGACTATTTTGTTTGATAGAGGTTCTTTCCTTCTGAGTTCGAAAACAATGTGGACCGGAGTCACGCGGTTGAGCCAGCAAAGAGTGCGTACTCCATTAAAGCCAGAATTCGCCGCACCATTGAGGCCGAAGGAATTCCATACACTTATGTGTCAAACAACTTCTTTGTTGCTTATTTCCTACCTACTCTGTCACAGTTTGGAGCTACAGCTCCACCAAGAGATAAATGTT